GCACAACGGGATCCCGGTTGTGCGGTCGCGGAAGGAGGATGGCAGTGGGCGGGCGGCTATGTGGCCCCCGGCGATAGGGCGCACTCAGTGCCGGCGGTAGAGGCGATAACAGTAGTCGGGTGGTGCGGCCTTACGCGGCGAGCACGCCACGTCTGTGCGAGTGTGGCGGCGGTGGAGAGGAAGGCCAGCGAGAGGCGCGGTAAAGAGGGAAGCATGCGGGAGCCGCATGGAGCCGGTCGCGGCCGCGGAGAGTTACGGTGATCCATGATTTTTTTAATCTGCGGTGACTCGAAAAAGAGTCGAACGAGCGGATAGGAACCGCAGCTTCTGGCGTCGGATCACCGGCAGGGGTAGGGATGGCAACAGGTACCCGCGACCCGTTTACCCGTGGGTAAAAACCCTATTAGGCTACGGGTTTGGGGGATTTTGCCCCCCCCCACGGGTACGTTACTGGGTGATTACCTCACCCATCGGGTGAAGCGGGTATGGGTGCGTTCTTGTATACCCCAAACCCGTTACCCGATGGGTCCCCGTTTAAGTATGACACGTAGGTCCATCCAATCATTAAACAGTATATAGAGAAGAAAAAACCCTAGCGTTCCCATTAATCCTCCTCAGCAGCGCCGCTATGCGTTCCCCGCTTCCTGCCAATTCACACCGCTTCAGAGAGTTTTTAACCCAGCCTCATAGCGAGCCGTCACACTCGATAGGAGGCCCGACCGGCCGAGGGCGTCCACATCTGTTCGCTTCGCATCCCTACACAGACGGCAGATCCGCTTCCTGTCCTGCGCCGCTACTCGTTCCCCTTCCCCGCTTCCTGCTTGGCGCTGCGGCTGCGCCACCGCCGCCGCCGCTCCTGCGCTGCTTGCCAACCCTACGCCGCCGCCGCTCCTGCAGTCGCGAAGGATGGCTTCACCTCCGTGGATGGAAGGCGCCGAGCCTCGAAAGCGCTTGGAAGAAGATGGGGTCATTGGGATGGGTCGTGCTTTCGGGGCGGACGGCAGCTCGACGCCATCTCCAAGGTCACCAGAGACGCCCACTTCATCTCGTGCACGGTGCGCTCTTCGCCTCTTTGAATCCCCTATGTTTCTGTATCTCTTGCTGATTAGTCGTAGTAGACCGCGTCGATTTGTATAAAAGATTGTATGTGCCTTATTGAGTTATTGTGCTAACTGTTGGTTAATTTGTATGCAAGTATGCAACGTTGCACTAACAGTTTTGAAATTAGTTATTAGTATACCTCGTCGATTGAAGATGCTTAGTGCCACTGTTGGATTTACGATATGGACAGCCCTTTAAATGATCATGAAGATGCTTAGTGCCACTGTTGAATAAAAGAATGTATGTGCCTTATTGAGTTATTGTGCTAACTGTTGGTTAATTTGTATGCAAGTATGCAACGTTGCACTAACTGTTTTGAAATTAGTTATTAGTATACCTCTTCGATTGAAGTTGAACTAACCAGTCCTGATGACCTCGCGAAGGGATACCACCGATGCTGCTGTCGCAAAAGCTAGTGCCACTGCTAATGCTAAAGCACCGGTCGCCCTTGGCTTGAGTCGCAACCGTACTGTGCAGGTATCATGCGCCATCAAGAAACGAAGCCGTCTCGCCATTGAAGGAGCACCTGCAACTCCTTCCTCCTCTGCGCTTCAGTTGTTGAGTTCCAAGGGGTTTGATTCGATGCACGCTAACCCCTATTTTTACTTCCATTTCCTGTTTACTTGAATTATTGAGCTGCTATGTCTTTTAGCATTTGTACAAAACTTTATGTCTTGAGCTGTTTGTTTGTTTGAATTATTGAGCTACTATGTCATTGTTATATCGATTTATGGATGATGCACAGATCTGTCATTGTTTCCTAACAATAACAATGTGCTTACTATTTTTTCCATTCGTGATATGTAGGGTAGCATCACCAAAATCAAGCTTGGGCAGTGGGAGCAGCAGCTTGCCGCAGTCTCCAATTTCTGCAGCTACAAGGCCTAAATCTGTCAATAATTCACAACCGATCGAGATAGAAGATGATGACCCAGAGGAAGAAGACATGAATGTTGGTTCAAAAAGGAAGCTAACCTCTGCTGTTTGGAAAGAGTTTAAGAGAGTGAGAATGTTGGGCGAGGTGAAGGCAAAATGCATGTACTGTGTCAAGAAGCTTTCAGCAAAAATCCAACAGTGGCACTAAGCATCTTCATGATCATTTAAAGGGCTGCCCATATCGTAAGTCCAAGTTTGCTTCCAAGGACAATAATATGACACAGACTTCTCTTCGGTTTGCTTCCAAGGAGTCAGGACTAGCTGTGCAGAATTACTCATTTGATCCAGATATAGCTAGAAGAGAGCTTGCTGCCATGATAATACTCCATGAGTATCCTTTATCTATGGTTGACCATACCGGCTTTCGAAGGTTTGTTAGTGCACTTCAGCCCTTATTCAAGTTGGTGACAAGGAACACAGTTAGGTAAGATGGGATATTATGCTTCAAAATCTAACTGTGATGCATTTTGTTTTTGATGCAATGTATAATAATTTTGCGATGCATATTCCAATTTTAGGAAAGACATTATGGATGCATACATGGAAGAGAAGAAGGCCTTGCAGTACATGTCAGTCTCCAAGTCCAGAGTGTCTATAACTACAAACATGTGGACCTCTGAGAATCAAAAAAGAGGTTACATGGCTGTTATTGCCAATTTCATTGATGACTCTTGGACACTTAGGAACATTATCATGAGGTAATTAGAAACCCATTAATGTTGCTAATGCATTGTCATTTGTGTCATTAGTTTCTGATTGTATTTTCTCATGTACACAGGTTCATATATGTGCCTGCCCCACACACTGCTGAGGTTATTTCTGAGGTGTTATATGAAGCTTTGGTTGAATGGAACCTTGATGAGAAGATCACGACTGTGACTCTTGACAACTGCAGCACAAATGATGCTCTAATTCCTGAATTTGTGAGGAAGATTGGCAAAGGTAAATTGTCGTTAGAGGGTAAACTTTTGCACATGCGTTGTTGTGCCCATATTCTGAACTTGATTGTGAAGGATGGATTAGCTGTCATACAACCTGCAATTGCAAAGATCCGTGACAGTGTAGCCTTTTGGACAGCCACACCTAAAAGAGTAGAAATTTTTGAAGAAATTGCTAAGTATGTAAAAGTTTCGACTGATAACAAGTTAGGCCTGGATTGCAAAACTAGATGGAATTCTACATACAAGATGCTTAAAGTTGCTTCACCTTATGAGCCAGCTTTTAACCGAGCAGCACGTGTAGAGAAGTTATATGTTTGTGCCCCTAGTAAGGAAGAATGAGATTTTGCTAGAGAGGTGGTAGGGAGGCTCAAGATGTTTGATGACATTCTAGATTGGTGGAAGGTGGCTGGGACGTGGTATCCTACATTGAGTAAGATAGCACGTGACATATTTGCTATTCCAGTTAGCACAGTTGTATCAGAGTCTGCTTTTAGCACCAGTGGTCGGGTTCTTAGTGAGCACCGTAGCCGGCTTACACCGGAGATCTTGGAGGCCCTTATGTGTTCACAAGATTGGATGCGTCGCAAGTATATAGGTATATATTCTGTTCTGTACATTTCATTTCTACATTTTCTAATCTTGTTTTCTAACAATTGTTGAAAATTTACTTGCAGATGCTACCAATGTAGACAAGCCTGAGACCTTTTGGAGCTGTCTTCAAGAGATGCAGGAAGGGATGCAGGTGATGTGTAATGTGTTAACCTTTTCATTGTCACATATTCAATTACATTGTATACTAACTATCCCCTCTTATGCAGAAACTTCTACTTTGACACATATTCTACTTTGATGCGGCTGGGGTTGGTTGCCTACCTGTGGTTGGATGGCTAGGTCTGATTCGCAAATCCTGTGGTTGCCTGCCTGCGATTTCATTCCTTGATGATTTAGTTAGCATTTTGATGAGTCCTATGCCTTCAATATTACTACCTCTTTGAAACAAGTGATGAAACCTGTTGCTGTGGGGGTCTGAGCTTTCTACTTAGGCCTTGTTGTTCCCTTGTGTTAGAAGCCTTGTTGTTGTTTCCCAGTTAGCTTATTCTGGTACTTAGATCTTGTGTGGAGGAAATTTCATTGTTTCATGATTTATTTAGCACTCAGCAGCTTGATGGATCTTATCTGTCAATCACCACACCTTTGAAAACTGACGGAACCTGTGGCTCCTTGTAGGTTAAGGTTGCAGGCTTGCAGCAAGGAAGTGAAGGATGCATCATGAGCAAGGAAGTGAAGGAAGTGAGAAACCCGGTGGGGGCAGCAAGGATACATCATGAAAGTTGAAATTTAGTGTCATGAACTCCTAGTTAATAATTGTGTCATGAACTCTTAGTTAATTATTGTGTCATGAACTCTTAGTTGATCATTAGCTGCGGTCGATGACATGTTACATGTAAGTTGTAAGTTGTAACGCTTTACGCTTGCTTGCATACTTGCATGATCATTCTGAATTTTTGATGATGTTAGCTTTATGAATTGTGATCTTGTGTTATTGTTAAATGGGGATGGGTCACCCGATGGGTACCCGTTACCCACGCGGGTGACGGGTCTGGGTAGATTTGAGACCCGTCACGGGTGACGGGTATAGGTGACGGGGTGTTTCAACCCTGGTGGGGGCGGGTGTGTTCTCCTGCCCCCCACCGGGTTTCTCACCCGTTGCCATCCCTAGGCAGGGGCGTCCACTGTGGACGAACGTTGAACTCCAGCATTACCGATTTACTAGAGAGTGACCACCTTTGATGTTTTCATCATTTTTTCCAAACGAAGAAAGCACCACGTCTTTCTCTCACCTTTCTCTTTCATCCATGTCACAAAAATCCTACGTGATATTATATGCATTTTGAAAAAGCTGACATAAGGCAATGAAAAACAGCTAACACAATTTACAGCATTTCGTAAAACCCTCGAAATCAACGTGTAAAATAAAACCTCCGGTACCGCGATATTCCATTTCCCCTCCCTCCCCTCCCCATGGAATCCGACGGCGACACGTCGCCACCTCGCTCGCCTACGCCGGCGCCACCGCGTGCCTGCGGCGCGGGCCACCCGGCATCGCACTCGCTGCCGACCTCGGCGGGCGGCCGTGTCTGCCTCTCCTGTGCCGCGGCGCTCCTCTCCTCCGCGGGCGCCGCTTCCACGCCATCCCACCACGTCGCGCACGCGCTCGCCAACCTCTCCCTGGCGCTCGCTGACCCCGCATTCCTCAGGCCGCTCCGCGCCGCGCACCCACGCCTCCTCGCGGCGCCGCTCGCCGAGGCGCTCGAGGGCGCCGCCGACCGCCGCGATGCCGCTCTCGCCGCGCAGGCGTGCGACGTCGCGGCCGACCTCGCCGCCGTCGTGGGCGCCCCGGCTGATTCAGAGCTCGTCGCCCGCCTCGCCCGCGTCCTCTCCTCTGGCTCACTCGTCAAGCACCTCCATACGGTAAGTGCGCGGCCCGGGTCACTCACAATTTCGTGCTATGCTGTTTGTCTCATTTATGCTGAGTAGGTTGGCTACGAATTATATGTAGTGGAGAGGACCAGTGGATGACTACTTGACTAGTCTCACTGGATCCATTGAATACGGTGAACAATAATTCGAGCTAGTAGATGTATATAGCCAACTGGAGTCTGACATCGAAATGCTGCATTCCTTTTTTAGATAATAGAAATAAATCCGGTGTCATCTCTTGTCTCCAAGAGAATCAGATCACTTATTACAAAATTGTGTAACCACACAAATTTCCCACTCAAAACTCAATTCTAACATTATAAGGTCATCCAAAAATAAGAAATAAAAATTGCCGTTGCCTCTAGCATTGGATAGACTTGGATAATGAGCTGCTTATTGGCTTCATCCTTCTGTAATTGTGCCCATTGCTGTAACCAGTGTGTTCCTCTGAATATATATAACCTACAAAAAAGTATTGCCAAATGCTGCATTCCTACATTAAGGCCCCATTTGGAACATGTTTCCTTTTTCTGATTCCTGTGTTTTTCTGTAAAATTGAACTAATTCATGTACAATTCATGCTATACAAATGGGTCCTAACAAGAGGGACCCGGTTCTAACAAGTGCTTACCTGCATATGGATACACATGATGGTATTTCAGGGTTGCTCATAATAGGTTGACTGCATTTTACCTTCCACTGCCTTTTCTTCTTTTTTTTATGGCCTTGGACATCTTTTCAGCTCAACACAATGGAAATGTACACATTCACATGTATACACCAAATTAAGAAATATGATCGAATGATTTTGTATCTAATTTTAGAATCGTCTAAGTCTTAGTCTGGACTGTAAAAGTTGCAACTAAATATAGAATAATACCTTATTTGGTTATACAACTAAATATACTAGCAGTAGTTGTATCCTTGACACACCAGTACACCATTTGAAGTAAACATAGTACTGGTGGCAGGATATGCAGTGCAGCATCATTCTAATTGATTAGTGTCACTCCTGGAGATGTGTTCAAAGGTTGCCCTAGATGTAAGACCTACAATTAGGTTTCAGTGTATGGTTGGAGGGTGATCTGCTTCCTTTGCCTGTTATTGTAATTCTGGTGAACTACCCCATTTTGTCCAAAGTGGCCTGCAGTGCTTTTATCTCATCACTCATCAGTCGTTGCTTGAGTGAGATAGACTGGATCCATTAAAGATGCGAGGCACAGTGGTTCTTCTCTTATAACTTCTATTGAATTGATTTACCTTCTTATGTCTGTATCTTTCTTTTATGTCAGTGCAGCTACATTGTTTGGGGCTTTTGCTAAACTCTACCAAAGATGCTGCAGCATATATAGGGGACAAATGTTCTCTTTTCTTAAACCTTGTTAATGATCTCCGACTTCCAAGGTGAAGACAACTGAATTCTGATGATTATTTCTTGCCTTGCAAACACCTTATCTGGCAGCATCTTTAACTTTCTCTATACAGCGATGAAATTCGTGGAGAGATATTCTTTGTTCTATACAAACTCGCTATACTAAATGCCACCCCATGGGACAATATATGTGAAATTGAAGATTTGGACCTTCTGGCAATTGGTAGAAGCTTGCTTCAGCTCTCTCTTGAAGTCCTACTCAAAACTCAAAATGATGCTGTTCGCTTGAACTGTGTTGGTTGGTATTTCTTCTTTTTGTACTACCTAAATAATAGTGCTTTAAGAATACTTCATTTTGTTGAAGATACTGATGTTTGAACTTTCATGTAATCTAACAAACAATTCTGGCCATTAATTTTTTTCACAATTTGTACATAAGTTTACAGTTCTTTGTGACTAATTAATCTGCTCTTAATGTAAACACTCTAGATATATAAGCCACAGTTAAAGAAGTTATATGGCTACGGCTAGCTTCATATAGTTTGAGAAACTTGAGAGTGGTTTGAAAAGATAACCTGACATCAATTGATGAATGCATCATTTCTGATGTTATACAAGAAGCACGATGAGAACAATGAACTTCTGGATCCAGCTTTAATACTCCAGTGTTACTTTAGTTTAAGAGTTGGCTAAGGAGGAAAAAATATTCACAATGTTGACTGAGTACCTTCGAATTGTTTGCGGTTATAAAATTTATCTCCAAATCATTTGCACTAATAAATTTTGGATTTGGTTTTTAAACAACTCATCAATGTTGAAAATTTCCACAATAGGTCATTCTCCACTTGTTAGTGATGTTCCTTTTTTTGTGCTACTGCAGCATTGCTCCTTACTTTAGCAAAGAAGGAGCCCTTTGACCATTTGCTGATTAGCATCCAGAGTTCTAACAACTGCATAGAAGCAGAGTCCATGCAGACAGATTATATGTCCCTAAATGCTTCTCTTGTTCTATTCGCTGAGGCTGTCAAAGGATCTCTGCTATCTACTAACCTAGAAGTTCAGACAGGAACATTGGATTTGATCTTTCATTTCCTGTCATCTGATGCAAATATTTGTGCTCTACTTCAAACTTTGATCGATGAAAATGTTGCTGATTACATATTTGAGGTTCTCAGGTTATCAGGTAAGAAGTTTACCTTTTTGTAGTCATGAACTTCTTTCTGAAAGCTTTTATGCATTATTATGATCAAGAAGGCTTACGAAGTTGCACTCCTGTTATACATCTTCAGGAAATAATGATCTACTTGTCATTTCCTCTATTCGAGTACTATTACTTTTTGCGAGATTGGAGGAAAAATTCAAAGAAAAGCTTGCCATTGGATTTTCCACTCTTCTTCCTGTTCTTCACTATGTTGCAGAGATACCATTTCACCCAGTCCAGTCCCATGTTTTACGACTTGTTTGGATTTGCATGGTCAATTGTTCCGGTATCCTCTCACTGCCCCAAGAAGAACAGATAGCTTGTACTTTGACTGCAATCTTGAGAAGAAATGTCAATGGTGAACTTGACATGAGTTCTGAAACTTTTATTCTGGTTTGTTCAATATTAATAGAGATTCTGAAGTCACCTCATGCTCATGATATTGAGAAACTACCATCATTTATTGAAGAAGCATCAAAATATGCGATATCTTCAACGTTGTCACATGAGTGTGATTCTATGATCCTCATTCCTCATTCTCTTCTTCTTCTGAAAGAAGCACTTATATTCTGCCTTGAAGGGAGCAAATACAGTATTGCTAGCACGAAGGATCTTGAGGATAGCATCATGGGAACTTGTGGAACGATTTTACTGCAATGGCTTCAAAGTGCTGTGGTTGACAGTAATGATGAAGAAACATTGGCAGAGATCCTTCAGATTTTCCAAATTATTTTGTCAAGGGCATCTGACAAAAAGCCGTTAAAGTTTCCTGAATTGCTAGCATCATCATCATGGTTTAGTTTGTCATTTGGATTCATGGGCTTATTTCCTACTGATCATGTAAAATCAGTAGTATATTTGGTCACTAGTTCGATTGTTGACAGGGTTTTGGGATGTAATTATGGGGAAACAATTCGAGATGCACACATTTATCTGCCATCAGACCCTACAGAAATGATGTATTTACTTGGGCAATGTAGCACAGAAGACTTCAACTTGGCATCATGCCAATGTGCTATTCTTTCTATATTGTATGCCTGTTCATTCTACAATGAAAGGTACTCATCTGCTGCTGCTTTTAATTCACCATTTACACCTTATCAGAGAAACATGTTAATATGGCAATTGTTTTAACTATTCAGGCTCTGTGCTAGCAACCAAATTCTGGCTTCTGTTGAGCAATACATCCTCCTCAATGGTGGGAACTTCCCATATGAAATTAATGGTTCCATTATGCTTACGCTTCTGGTCCATCTTTATGCCTTTGTCAGAGGCATTTCCTATAGCTGCAGCATTCCACATAGTCCAGAAGCCGAGAATACACTATTCCACTTAATCATACATAAGGACTGGGATTTGCTTGTGATCCGAGTCCATTCGGTAGCAATAAAATGGCTCTTTCAGAAGCAAGAAATTATGGAACCACTCGCCTTCCAGATGCTAAAGTTTTGTAAAACTTTCTGTGAAGATGAAACTGTCATGCTCTCAAACAGCAGTCAGTTGGTGGACATACAAATGATTTCCGAGCTTGTACTTTCTGGAGAAACCACCATCTCGTCTTTGCTGGTGTCCTTGCTAGACCAGATGGTAAAGGAGGGTACAGAAGATGAGGTATTTTCAGTGGTCAGTGTTATCGCTGAAATACTCATGATCTCTCCGCGTTCTTCTGATCAGTTTATATCATGTGGTATTGTCGGTTCATTCCATGGCATATATTGCTTACCATACTCTTCAAGGAGCAGAACAGTTTGTTCCTATTTGATCTTTAACATCTTACGTTCAGCAAGTGCATCAACATTTGACCAGGAAGATGAATGGCTTCCTCTTGCTCTAAAGGTACTCTTATTCTGTCTATTTGAGTTGAACCTTGTAAATTACATTCAAGTAATATTATTATTCGCTGGCTGTTAATATCTTCATGGGATGTTATTTGGCTAAACTTGTGGATATAGCAAAGCAGGTTGGTGTCTGGGTGTCGATCGCTTGTTTCAGTTCTAACAGGCGCGCATGTAACCACAGACCATTAGAGTGGTGTGTTTATTGTGTGTGGGTGTTTCAGTGTTTGTGCTTGTCACTTCGTGTTGTCCCATTTTCTTCTTAATATAATGATATGCAGCTCTCCTGCGTTTCGAGAAAAAAAAAAGAAATTCCAGTGCAGTACAGGTAGTGTTTTAAATATTGCCTTTGTTTGGATTACTTGGTAGGGATCCCACATCATTAACGCTTAGTTGTCTGTTTAGGCCAGTGCAGATTTCCAAAAAGAATGCATTGCTAGCTAGTATTTCGATTCGTATCATTACTGATTAGATTTATAATTTTTATGATTCAGAAATTACTTTTGTTTGCAGTTATTGGAATTTATCAGTTCGGGTATTGATTATACATCTAGTGACCAAGAACACAAGATAGTAGTTGGGATACTATGCCTTGTTTTGCATCATTCATCAAGCGAATTTCTTATTGAGCCTGCAAAAGCCATAATCTTGAACAGTTCTTTGGTTTCTTTAACGGATGTCATAGTAAACAAAGCTTGTGTTAAAGGCCCATCATTATTTCAACACAATCAGGAGACAACCTTTGGAGAATTCCTGATTCTTGTACTTCTATTGGTGTTCTTCTCTTTAAGAAGGTATGAAGCTGTTGCTTGCATGCTTCATTTTATTTGCTTGGGTCTGCACTAATTGTGGTCTGCATTTTCACTTTCCAGTTTCCATAACACTCTATAGGCACTAATTGTAGCCTGCGTTTTCAGTTTCATATTCTAGCGGCACTAATTGTATTCTTCGTTTTCAGTTTGCATACCATTCTAGAGTCAAATATTGACTGGCAGGACTTCCTTCAGCATTCAGATGATGTCCAGTCCTTTTCTGTTCTCGGCATTCCATGCCATGATTTATGCCGTCTTATGAACTTCGGTTCACCTTCTATTAAACTTATTGCTTCACAATGCCTGTTGGAGTTGCTCACGCGAATTTCAGATCAAAGGTCATGTATTAATGCTGAGTTAAGATGCTCTATGGGATATTTGAAGTCCATTATTGCAGTGACAGAGGGTTTGGTGTTCAGTGAAGACAGTAAAGTTGCTGGAAATTGCAGTGCCTGTCTCTCTCTGATTTTAGGATGGGAGAAATTTGGAAGCCAAGAGAAGGTGGCAGTCAGAGAATCTAAATGGTTGAGGCTAATAATGGAGGAATTTGTTGTGGCCTTGACTGCTCCTGGTTTGACGTCCAAATCTTTCACCAGTCAGCAGAAGTTTGCTGCGAATATAGCTGTTTCGTTGCTCAGGCTGAGCCAAGTGCCAGATTGGCTGACGTCGTTGTTTGATGGGCATCTGATATCTGGCATCGTGGCTAATCTTTCTGCTAGGAATGTTACTGCAGAAAACGTCAATCTCTTCAGTGAGCTCATGGCTAGGAAGTATCTCAGTCAAGAGCACATTGTTGATCTACATAACTTGTTCCAGGTTTGTGCAAATATCTTTGTAGCCCTACAAAGTATAGAACATGGCATTGTAAAGCCATACTTACTCGTACAAATAGTTTTGCAGGATCAAGTTCATGTGTTAGTTCACCTTTTGAATTCCCCTGCCGTGGTGTATCTGATTTTGCTTAATATTCATACATATCATTATATTCATGTGCAGGTGTGCAGAAGACAGGTCTACGAGGGAAGCTCCAAAGCACCATTGCCAGAGCAAAGGGTTGAAAAAGTCGCGAGAAGCACCAATGACGTTCTCGCATCGCTCTTTGCCCTGATGCTGAACCAGTGCTCAGACTCTGGCACGGTTCAAGCGGAGCAGCAGAGACTACTGCGTGCGATTGACCTGTTCTTCCAGGAGTCTAGCAGGAGAGAGCAGCAATATTATGTGAGTGCTACAGCTCCTTCCCCACCACAACGCCAAGACACAACGATGCCTGGGGATTCTGGACCAAGACAGGGCAGCCGGGCCCGTCGCCCAAGCGTGGAGACATTCGGCCCAGAATGGATCCGGATCCGGCCCGAGTGACGCCTGCGCGCGTGACCGATGCCGTGCCCAGGTTGCCGGCTTGTATTCGGGTATAAGGAGTCCCCGAGCTGTAAGAACAATCGTCCTGTTAATCATTCCTCCGAACTATCCTACTCGATCTTGTGCTTTGATGCGAATTCCTACCTACTATTCCTTACACCTTCTCAAGGCTGGATGATATGGGAGGACGCGCAAAACCTGCATTCCAAAATAAAATGTGAACAGCCTCCTGAACGGTTTGGAAGAAATGCAACTCGGAGCAGGTCACAGCACGAAAAGGCACGCCACTCGCCACTCGCCAGGGCTAATCGTAGGTGCCTACTCGTAGCTTGCATGCTTAGCTCCGAGTCGTCACGTCCCGTCACGAGCTGCGACGTGCAGCGCGACCCTGCTTGCAATGCAATACGACGTGTACGTCCCATGCAGCCAGTGCTGCCCGCCGGCCATGCTCTTGTGTCAGTAGCTGTGTCGCTGCCCGCCGGCCATTACTCCCCAAGAGAGCCGCCGGCCTCGGGAGGCCCTCGCCCTGGCCACGTCGACGGCTTTACTGTTGGCCGCCGGATCGTGCATCCCGGATCGCCGCGCATGCGGTGGGGCGGGTGCGGTGGGTGGCGTCGCGCGTCGGTCGCCTAGGAGCGGCGGGGTGGTTGGGCGCTGTGTGCTGGCCGCCGCGCGGCGACGCACCCGCGTCGCCCCACAAGTGGAGGGGCCCCTATCGTGTGCCCCACATGGCGGCGGCCTGGCGGGCCGTTGTCGCCGTTGGTTGGTTGAAGTGGTCGCTGTGAGCCGAGGGCCTCGAGTTTCGCGACGGAGGGTTTTACTATGGCCCAGAACATGGCGCCAGCGGGGGGCACCCCTACAGACCGTGGCCGTTGTCGATCTACCATTGGTTGAGAGGGGCTACAACGGGGTGTGCTCCTGTGGACCGTGGCCGTTGTCGATCTGTCATTGGTTGAGAGGTGGACGGGGTCCATTGTCAGAGGGGTGTCGCTTCGCCTCGGAGGGCCTCTTTTAATCGCAGTGCTCGCCGACGGGGGCTCTCTTCTCCCCTTTCGTTCGGCCGGCTTCCGAGGTGCGTATACCGCGCCCCTTCTCGATCCCTTTTTGCGGCGTTTTTCGTGGATGGGGGGACGTCGGCGCTAGGCCAGACGCCGTTGCTGCAGGGTGTGGGTGTGATGGTTCCGGCGCCGGTGTGGGAGGCTGGGTACGTTGTTGTGGCGTCTGCCTAGGGGTGGCCAGGCGTTTTGGATGTTCGGTTGGATCTCCGCACCGTAGGTGTTCGATGAAATGCTCGCACCCCACTGGAGCTGGCCGTATGGGTTGATGCTGTGGTCAGGGATGTCGCCGCCGATGTGCGGTGTCGGTCGGTCGACCTAGGCTAGGCACCGTTGTTGTGGGGTGCGGATGTGTCAGACGCGTCAGCGATGTGAGGGCCTGGTGAAAGCTCTAGTTTGGTTTTGGTGAATTGATAAAACCCTAAGTGCTAACCTAGTTTATCAAGTGATCATGAGATAGGTAGCACACTCCAAGTGGTGAAGTAAATGAAGATCATAACATGATGATGATGATGACATGATGATGATCAAGTGCTTCGACTTGAAAAGAAGAAAGAGAAAAACAAAAAGCTCAAGGCAAAGGTATATTTTGTAGGAGATATTTTGTTTTGGTGATCAAGACACTTAGAGAGTGTGATCACATTTAGGTTTGATAGCCGTACTATTAAGAGGGGTGAAACTCGTATCGGAATGCGGTTATCAAAGTGCCACTAGATGCTCTAACTCATTACATATGCATTTAGGATCTAGTGAAATGCTAACACCCTTGAAAATGTTTGTGAAAATATGCTAACACATGTGCACAAGGTGATACACTTGGTGGTTGGCATATTTGAGCAAGGGTGAAGAAGTTAGAGGTGAAGAGAAGTTAGTCTTGCTGGTCACTGAGTGACCGGACGCTGGTCTTAGAGGAACCGGCGCGTCCGGTCAAGTGTGGCAGCGTAGACGCCAGCGTCGGTCATCGACCGGACGCTGGGTCTTGGACTGACTGGACGCTGAAAGGCTACGTCCGGTCCCTACTGACATGGCAGCACAGTGGTCAGGGTAACTGACCGGACGCTGGCAGGGTCTGGTCAAGCATGATCGGACGCGTTCGGTCGAAGAAATTCGTTTCTGGAACCTTACTAGAAACGACCGGACGCTAGAGGCTGAGCGTCCGGTCAGTTTGTGCGCTGTGTCCGGTCAGCAGACGATCGTTGAAATCTGACGAACAGTATTTGAAGCGGGGGACACGTGGCATGTATCACGTGACCGGACGCTGAGGGCCTGTGTTCGGTCGATCGGACCGGAGCGTCCGGTCACCCCGCGCTGTGCCCAGTGAAGGGGTACAACGGCTCTATTTCGTGGGGGCTTCTATTTAAGCCCCATGGCCGGCTCAAGCTCACTCTCTTGACCATTTGCATTGACATAGCAACCTTGTGAGCTTAGCCAAAGCCCTCCCACTCATCTCCATCATTGATTCATCATCTTTGTGAGATTAGGAGAGAATCCAAGTGCATTGCTTGAGTGTTTGCATCTAGAGGCACTTGGTGTTCGTGTTTCGCTGCGGGATTCACTTGTTACTCTTGGTGGTTGCCGCCACCTAGATGGCTTGGAGCAGCGAGGATCGTCGAGTGGAGGGTGGTGATTGTCTCTGGCTCCGATCGTGGTGATTATGAGGGGTTCTTGACCTTTCCCCGGCGGAGCGCCAAAAAGTACTCTAGTGGATTGCCCGTGACTTGTGTGATCCTCGTCTTGTGTTGGTTGTGCGGCACCCTATTGAGGGTTTGGCGTGTGATGCCAATTAGCGCGTGAACCTCCAAGTGAGTGAATCGCCACAACGAGGAGTAGCTTGCCGGCAAGCAAGTGAACCTCGATAAAAAATCATTGTGTTCATCCTTTGATTCCGATGTGTTTGGTCTTCATTGTTATTCACTCTTGTGATTGATTGGTTCCTTCATCTACACGGCGGTATAACTTTCTTGATCACTCTCTTTACATTACCGCAAACTAGTTGTCAAGCTCTTTAGTGTAGTTAGTTGTGAGAGCTTGCTTGGTTGGTTGGTGTGGCTCTTTAGTTAGCCTTTGAGAGCACACTAACATAGGGTAGTGTCATAGCTATTGTGTGAATAGATACTATCTAAACTAGAATTATGGTAGGTGGCTTGCATTTTGAGTAGGCTAGCGCAACTCTTGCTTTGCCTCATAATTGTCTAACCATTTTGTTAAGTGTTGTTGTAGAAATTTTTATTAGGCTATTCACCCTCCCCTCTAGTCATTAGGACCTTTCAAGTGGTATCAGAGCCGAGGTCACCATGATTTGAGGCTTAACAATCTTCGGTGTAAAAATGACTCAAATCAATAACACAAAGAAGCCACCCCAATTTGATGGCTCCAACTATCCCTATTGGAAGGGTAAGATGACAACTTATATCAAGTCAATCAATAGAAAGGTTTAGAAGATGGTAGAGACAAAGATTGAGATTGAAGATGAAGGGGCTCCCACCGTCACCGAAGAAATACTACTCCAAAATAATGATATTGCTCTTAGTGCCATCCATGATGCTTTGGATGAAAGAACATTTGAGCAAATCAAGAACATTGAGAGAGCTCATGAGGCATGAAAGAAGTTGAAAGAATCATTTGAGGGCACTCAAGCCGTGAAGGGTGCAAAGGCATATATTCTCAAAGAGAAATTTGCAAGCTTCAAGATGAAGGAGGATGAGAGTGTGCCAGAGATGTTTCATAGGCTTCAAGTGCTTGTCAATGATCTCAAAGCACTTGGAGAAGAGGTGAAGGACAAGGACTTATCTCACAAGTTCTTGAGATGCTTATCTTCAAGATTTGGCACATTGGTCACTATTCTAGTAAGGAGTGATTTGGACACCATAACATCAAACCAAGTGTTGGGAGACATCATGACCGATAATACATATAGAGATGAAGATGAGAAGGAAGAAAAGGAGAAGAAAGATGAGAAGAAGGATGAGAAAAAAAAGAGTGTGGCATTCAAGGCCACATCATCCAAGGGCAAAGCTAAGCAAGAAACATCTAGTGAAGAAGATGATTCATGGGATGATGATGATGATGAGAAGAAGATAGCTCTCTTTGTCAAGAGATTTGGCAAGTTTATGGTGAAGAAGGGATACCGTGCTAGAAGAAAGAAGTCTTCATCCAAGAACAAAGAAGAGTCAAGAAGGTGCTTCAAGTGTGGAAGCAAATATCATCTTGTTGCTCAATGTCCATACAATAACGACAATAATGATGACAAAAAGAAGAACAAGAAGAAGGACAAGAAGGAAAAGAAAGAGAAGGACAAGATGACCTTCAAGAAGAAGAAGGGTGGTTCATATGTGGTCACTTGGGATAGTGATGCTTCTTCAAGTGATGATGATGACGATAGTGATGATAACAAGACCACCAAGAAGAAGGTTCTTGCAAGCATTGCTATCAATGAGAAGCCTTCTCTCTTCGACTCTTCATCATGCTTCATGGCTAAGGCCACTAAGGTACAAACTTGTGATGATGAAAGTGATGAAGAACATGATGATGATAATGAAAATGAAAATAAAAATGATAGTGATAGTGATGACGATGAACCTACTAAGGATGAATTATTTGACATGCTAAAAGATGCTAGAGAACACTTTGACATCAAGAGAAGGGAATGCAAAAGCTTGCGTAAGGAACTAAAAGTCCTTAAGCAAGCTTTTGATGAGCTCAATGCATCTCATGAGAGGCTAGAGAAAGCCAATAAAAAGCTTGGCAAAGCTCACAAAAAGCTTGAAAAGGCTCATTCCTCTTTGATTGATGAGCAAAATAAAAAGAAGCATATTGATACTTGTGATGTAGGCTTAACTTGTGATTTAATTAATGAATCATCACCTATGCCTATCATTGTTGCTCCCGCTAACCCTTCTTGTAGTACTTCCACTTCCACCTCATCTAGTGGTGATGGTCTCACTT